ATATTACGTATAAAACTTATAATAAAACATATTCAAATAAACATAAGAACTTATAAATATGACTTATATAAACAACGAACTTATAATATAAACTATAAAAACAAAACAAATACCTAAGTATATATAAGTATAAAAACTTATATTTATAACTTATAAATAAACACTTATAATATAACTTAGAAAACAAGGGGGGGGGGGGGTTGGATGAAAAGTAAGTATTTTTTGGTTTTTTATTTTCTTATTTGTTTGGTTTTTTTGATAAAATGGGGGAAAACAAGCTCTAAAGATATTCAACTTCTCCAACTAAAGTAAACCCAAAAAAACACCACCAAGAACCCGAAACAAAATGAAAAAGAGAACAAACACAAATCAAACATTACACGTATAATAGGCACGTAGACAATATATTACGTAACTTACGCACTTAAGAATAGAAAAAATCAATCAAAGACCGAGTCAATTCATTTCCTTAACCACGATATGTAGGACTGTCAACTCTCCACACGGCCCGGAGTCATGCAATTCAAAGGCCCGTTTTGAAATATACCTTAGAACCCCAACTCTCTATTCAAGCATGAGAACATACTTCCACTATAAAAAAAATTTATAAAAGAGAGAATCTATTATCCATTCAACTCTCATACATAATCTATTCAGAAACCGCCAATACCTTATGCATTTTAACAAATTTTTTCTCCTAATGATGAGCACATTACACAGATTTCCATGAACTTCTCAAACCAATGACGTTTTTTCTATTCACATAAATGAACACAACATATTTTCAATAAATCAAAAATTGTTTTTGAGCTTAAACAACCCCAACTTAATGAAAATGACAAACAAACACATGAAAACATAATAATCACTCAATAACGAATTTTAAGGATAATGAATCAACTTATGGGGCTAAGAAGTCCAAAATTCTTAAAATCAACAAACACAAGTCACAAAAAAGATTCACGTATGAATTCGGAGTTCATTTAACTACCTTATGGAGCTAAAATAGCTTCAACAAAAACCGAATTCCACATACCAACCTACTTATGAAATCAAATTATACAATTCAACCAATTCAACAACACTTGCTCAATAATTGAAGAAAAACTAGTTTGAATCAATTCTCATTCATAAGGGATTTAATATAAACATAAAAAAAACCCATAAAGAACACCAACCATTTTTGGAATATTTGGAACAAACACAACAAACAAAAAATGTAAAATTAAATAAAAAACAAACTTTTACATAGAATTGGGGAAGAAAAGATAAAATTGACAAATAAGAGTTACCAATTGTTGAAGAAGATGAACTAATTGAAGAAATTGGAGCTGTGATGGAGGAACAACTGGAGCTGGAGCTGCTGCGCGTCTGCCGGCCGTTCGCCGCGCCGCCTTCCACCATCGCCGGCGACCACCATAGCAGCGGCCAAGCCGCTGCTTTATTCTCGTGTTTTTTTTCCTTTTCTTGTTGCAATTCATCTTCAGTTTATAGGAGATTAAGAGTGAACGACCTTCAATTTCTTCCCATTGGAGCGTGTGGGCGAATTGAATGGAGAGACGTTGGAGAAGATATGCGTTGAATGCTTCGCCGGTCGAACATGGAGCGTTTACTTCGCAGTTGCCATGAAGAAGAAGTTGCGTTTCTTTTTTTTTTTTCTTTCTTGTGCGAATCAGGAGAGCAATGGATGGGCCAATTAACTTGTTTTGATGATGGGTTTGGGCTCTGGCCCAAATTCAATCTCCTTTTTCCAAACTTGAATTGCAATTTGGTCTTTTGCTACACTTTTCACCAAAAAATAAGATATCTGATAATTTTGGGTTAGGAAAAATAAAAATAATAGAATGTAAAAAAAATGATTAAAAAAACTACTATTTATGAAAGAAAATAAAAGATTGTAAGAATTGGAATAAAAATAAAACAAAGCTAAACAAATGAAAATTAAACAATAAAAATACTAAAAATGCCAAAAAGAGAATTAAAAATATTAACCCAAACCCGAGTTATCA